ACACTCAAAACAAGCCTCTCAATGCTTCCCATTCTCACATCTACTTGAAAAAGAAGAAGTGTTGGGTTTTTATACCCAAAGTAAAGTGAAGACTCTAAATCACCACGAGGATTCATTTTTCTTCTTATCTTCACCAAAGCTCACCGTTTTACTTCAACCAAATCTGATTTGAGGGAAATCGGAAACAACTGCTTCTTACCATCTCCAATTGACTGCAAACCGAAACCAATTTTGAACTTGAATAGAAGCTTGAGCGTCAACATCTAGAGTTTATTGTAAAACAAAGTCAGATCTTTACACAGATGTCGTAGTGATGATATTAAGAGCTTATAAAACGAAGATGTGATCCCACAGGCGCATAAGCAAAGACGGACCCATTTTTATTGCAATTTGTAGGACTATTTTGTTAGATTTTTTCTGATTTTCTTTACTAACATACAAGACATGCCTCATTCCTATATCTCTTAAACGTCTTTAAATTTCTTGTTTATATTTTGGGTTTCATATCAATTTGATGAAGTAATAGCAAGATTCACAGCATCAAATTGATACAAAGAAAAAGGAACCATGTATATTCGTAAGTAATTAGGAAAAACTTTTAAGAGTACCGTTTATCTAAGGGGAAAAAATAATTTTGCATATGGTCATGACTCATGAGTTCGATTTCTAGCAGTAAATAGGAGATTAATTGTATTTCTTTTAATATGCTCTGATAATTAATCAAAAAGAGGCGATTTTTTTTTCTCTAAAAAATGATTACCAAAAAAAAAGGTCGATGTAAAAATTATTGTAAGGATTTAAACTTTAATCATGTTCTAAACCATTCATCAATTCACATAACCTATAAACGCAAGCATTATTCACCTAGTTCACAGTTGCAACTACTACGTCTAGGATGGATCCGAGATCCACAACGTCCAATCCATTATGAAAAATTGAAAACCATCTTCAATATAATTTACAATTTGAAGATCATTCACATTTTTATCTCCAATTAAACAAATAATGAGAGAATACCAAAATAAACCAAGAAAAAAATGGCCACGAGCTAAACCTAGAAGCAGAGATAACACCTTGTTTATAGCTTACTTTCACTCTCTCTAGGAGATATCATTGAAGCGTCTAAACCGGCTTTTGGTCAACTAAGAAGCAATACTTCTATTTTATACCAAAAACACAGTCAGTTGCTTGTCTAGCAAACCCTAAGGACTTCACACATGTCAACGAATTATGCGTATGTGACCAATTAGAATACAACTTAAGAAACTCTACTCATCCAAGTCTTCACTTAACTTCTCAAACTAATACAATATATGCACTCAAAGCCGGCCGTGACACGAAGTTGGTGAAGCATGTGCTTGGGGCCGACAGATACTTTATTAATTTTAAGGGCCAATGATTTTGACAAAATTATTAGTAGCTCTGTTGATTAAGTGTCTTTACAAAAACTTCTCTGGTCGTGGGTTTAAACCTGACAAGAGTTTTTTTTTTTAATTAATAGCTTAGGAACCAAATAAAAAATTGCTTAGGGCCCTTAAAATATGAGGGCCGGCCCTGTCACTGAGCCTCTCAAACCAAAGAAGATGATAGAGATACGTCTAGCGTTTAGATTACTGCATCAAATTTACCTTCTTTTTTGTTTTTTTTTAAATTGTGGGAATTCCGAACTTTTTGTTCATAATCTCTTCAATTTTCAGAATTAGCTTTTACAT